CCTGCAGATAGATATATGGCTGTATTATTTAGGAAAGCATGTCCGATACTGTTGTTTCTGGCTATGGTGTTTAATTTTTAAAAAAAGTTACACTCTGTTTAAAGATCTGTAATTACACAGGTTAACATATGTTATGTCACTTCAAAACCATTGTCTGAATTATGAGCCGTTCAGAATGAGCACTCCGTAAAAGCTGCAGAAGCACTTTATTGGCTTGATTTATGTGATTGCTTTGCCTTTCCTGAGTCCTGCAGCAAGGGATCTAGATATGCTCCTTCCCACCTTTGTGAAACCAGGCTGCATGCTTAGTGTAGTTAAGACTGGAGTAGTACCTGAGAGTAAATAGTTTCTGCCTAGACCCAGATTAACTCAGGTGAGGGGTGGGAGCATGCATTAGTGGTTTATAACTGGCAGTTGCTTTCAAGGATTAATGTCAGGGAGTTGACTTAATGCACATATCCATGGGTTAAACATGTTATCCCTGTTCCAGTAGGGCTGCTTCTCCATGGGAAGAACAACAAGCTGTTTGCTGGCTGTCCAAATATGGAAGCAGAGAGCTGATCCTTGGAGGGGTTTGGAAGATGTCCGGGGAAAAGCAAGCCAGCAGCGGCTGGGGTCCATCCTTTACCGACAGGTGGCAGCTTGTAGTCAGAAAAGAGCATCTCTCAGCCCTGCCAGAGCCTTGCTTTTACAGCAGTGCAGGCAGCACAGGCCTTTTTATTTCCATGGTGTGTACAGGGCATAGTAAACTTACTACGGTAAGAATTTATAAGCTTTAAGATACCTATATGAATTGGGAAAGTGCAGAAAGTGTAGCAGTGTGATGAAGTTGCATAGCAAAGGGTTTGCTTTGCAGTACTGCTTGCGGCATATTGTAAGATCTCCACTGAATCTGCAAGGAATTTTGCTTTAAAACAATTTTTGGAGTTTGTTTAATTCAAAGTGTATGAACAGAGCAAGGTCAACTGCATACCAGGTCAGTAAAATCCTCAAGTGGAGCAAGTAGTGCAAAAAATGCTCCCTTATCACATGTCTGCAAACACATTGATGCTTACGTTGTTCTTTGATAAACTATTTTTATGAAGAAGTACTTGTTTAATTTACCTCCATCCGCTGTTGGTAGAACTGCTCCCCGATTTCCAATACCATGGAATTGCTTTGTATTTCAAACCAAAAAGAAAAGCTCTATTTCTGCTATAAAAGCTGAAACTTCTTAATCTTTAATTTCTCTCTAAGCAAGTTGCATACAAGTTGTTTGCTCAGATGTATGGAACGTGAATGAAAATTGATATATCCCGTGTCTTTTTTCACACCCTTCTTTCTCGCACCCCTTATTCTTTTCCTCTAAGTACACTTTTATATCTGGTGGCTTTTTTAGTTCAGTGTATTTCATGAATCTGTCTTGTCTGCTCAGAGCGCTTGTGCCATGAGGTCTGTGTTGGCTGTTTTTGCACTTGCTGCATTGTCTAATCATAAGTGCATTCACACGTTTTGAAGAATGATCTGGCATCTTTTTTCATAACAATTGGACTTTAAATAGCCTGGGGAGGAATGTTTAGGGTGAAACTTGTGTGGTGTTGGAGACTGAATTCTAGGCTGCCTTGCAAAAAGTTTAAATAACATGCTCTTAAGACATAAACCGTGTTTAGCTCTGACTAGGCTAGAGATGTGTTTATGAGCTTGGGGTAGGATTTGTAGTTTGTGAGCTATCTTAGTTGGGATGGTGGTGCATGGTGTCCTGGAACGTGTATTTATTATGGGGCTTAGCTGGTTATTTGCCTGGATCTTTTACCACAGGAGAGCTGGGTTTAAGTTCTGCCTAAGTGCGGGATAGGGTGGTAGTTCAGGAATTGGCTTGAAGAGAGTTCATGTGAATATATGCATGTCACCTTCATCAGGCTTGTGCTTGCTTTTCTGAGTCTTGCCAATAAATGGATATTGGGAGCTTCTAACAGCAGTACCTTGAGCTTTTAGGGCAGGAAAGCTCGTTTGGGGTGAGTTACAGGGGGAGTGGAATTGGGGGGCTTTGTTCTAGCTTCTGCTAAAGTTATGCTAATCACAGGTGCTCTAGCATCATCCAGTTTGACAAGACTAGCTCCGATATTGCCAGTGTAATGGCAAAAGACTCTGACACTGCCATGAGGGTATCGATACGTGCTGATGTGGCTTTTGTACTGCAAGCCTCTGGCACCATTCTGTAGCTGGAGTCCATGCACCTCCCTTCTCTGAAACAGAATCAAAGAGAAACAGTAATTGCAGCAAACAGTTTACAAGCAAAAAGCTTTTCTGGTAAGTGGCTATGAAATCTCTTCCAGAGCTGGTGTGGAGCATTCTAAGAGCGGGGAGGCCATTGAGAGCCCTGGGTAGTTGCCTTGGCTGCTGCCTTTATGACTTTGACTAAATAATATGCACTTCCGTATCTCAGAATTGAATGTAAGTGCGTACCTGTATTGCTGCATAGATTAGATAAATTCACAGTGATATTTGAAGTAAAGGCTCTAGCTTAGGCTGGTATTTTAGTGATTTTTTTCTCACTGGGATAGCAGTAAATAGTCTTAGATTGTAAAGATAGGACTGGAAATTGAGGTCACAGTATAATATACAAGACCTTTCTTTTTACCTTGTTTACTTTATGCCAGGATAAGTATTTCATAGCAAAAGTAAATTTTTTGTGCAGTTTGTGAAATAAATAATAGAGAGATCCTGTTAAAAATGCATTGGCTGGCTTCCTTATTTTAATATTAATAAGGCAGGTTGCTACAATAAAATTAGTTCTGCATGGTGTTGTCACTGTACTCCCAAAGCAATTGAGCCTAATGCTATTCCTTCCTGAAATGAATCCCTGGGAGAGCGGTATTTGTGCAATTCTGAAGCCTCTAACCAGGGAAGTTGGAGTTGAACTGTAAATTATGGAAGATGCAGATTTTAATCTGGGAATCCTAAGTCTGGTCTTTGGCCTTGCGGCTCTCTGGCTGCTTATGTGAAGTGTTTTAATGTTGTTTACTTATGCATTTTCTCTGCTGTAGTGACTAATATCCAATTGCTTGGCTCATCATGTTTATGGACAACTTAGTAATCATATCTGTATGGTTTCATAGTCCAGAAACCTGTCCTGGTGGGGGCAAGACAATCTGAATCATGAAGGTACTTAGCTAGGACTGCAGCGCCCTAGGACACAGTGCCTTTTGATTTAGGGGTAAGGGGCTGAAGGCATCTGAGGAAAAAGAGTGACATTGCAGTTGGCATAAAGGAGATACTGTTGTCTCTTTTTTTTTTCTTTTTTTTAAAAAGATGAATCTGTGCCTTTAAAAGGAAAAGCCCTTTACCAACCTTGCGCCCCTGTGATTTATAGCATGCATTTATCTGAGCTGCAGAGCAAAGGGAGAAAACCTGTAATCTTGATACATTTTGTTATGTGACCAGAGCAGCATTTTTGTGCTTACAAATAGTATGAATGCTCATTGTATTAGAGGCCCTGTCAACTGAGGTGATATTTAGGTTAAAACAACCATTAGGGCGTTACTTGATCACGGGTATAGATACACTTCTGCTGAAATCTGCATTTAAGGCAAGATTAAACTATCTTCATTTTACAGTTTGCATTTTTAGTTTAGGATCCAAAGTAGAATTACACTCAAGCTTTGTCTGCCAACTGAATCTTTATAAGATTTTATTGAACTTGGAAGTCTGTGAAGGGAGGGAAGCACATATGTTTAAATACCATCAAGGTCTATGGGTCCAAATATCTGCTTAAGTGTTTTTTTTTTTTAAAAACAGTCATGTTTCAAGTAGGCTTTTTAAATTTCCACTTTAAAGAAATGTCTTGAGAATCCAACAACTGGGAGACACTTTCTTAGCTGGTGAACACTCGTTCGGAATAACCAGGCCTTCGCAGTTCTATGTAATTTCTATTTCTTATGATATGCTGTAGTAAAAAATTTGGAATTGTGGATTGCGTTTATTGTGTGTACTTTCTATAGACTGGATGAAGTTGACAGCTCAGCCTTACTTTAAGTGGTGATACTCGCATCAGAAGTAAAACAACCCGTGTCTCTTCCTCCCTTTTTAATTTGCAATCTGCAGAAGTCTTAGCTGAAAACAGAGAGAGAGATCTGTTTGTAAATGTGAATGATCTCTTTGTGCAAGAGGCTGGGGGAGGTGGAATTCCCTCCATGTTCCTTGGGAAAGAGATATGACGGAAATGTCTTGCTTGCTTTATGCTGTTAGTGAAGGAGAAATTTGATCCAGAAGATGAAAGTGGTGGTTCTTTTTTTTTTTTTTTTTTTTTGTGGGGTTTTTTTTGGTAGCAGAAGGGAAGTGGGACAAGATGAACAAAAGGAAACTCTTGGCTTCTCCCTATTTTCAAATTACTCTAGAGAAAGGCAAAACAAGGCAAGACAGGTGGTGCAACTGTAGCTGGAAGTGCCTCTGTGGGCTCCTGGCCAATGTCATCTGGAGTATTGTTTCTTTTCCTCTATCCTGCAAGAAGGGAAGTGCTGGATGGAGAAAAGAAAATAGCTGGGTAAGCACAGGCCCACAACTTTGTCCCTATGTAAGGCATTGATTTACAGAATGGGGTCACCGAATACAGCCTGCAGCACTTCTGGGAAGACACTGGAGGAGCAAAGTCTGTTTTTTATGTTCTTTGACTTATTAGAATCCAGTCAAAATGTGATTTTTCCCATCTGGGTGAAGAACATGCTTGCTTTCTCAGGAACACTGTGTCTTCCTGGGTACAGAAAATGAAAGATGGGAGAGGAGACAGCTCACCACATCGTAGCTGAGGAGCTGATATTTATTCCAGACTTCAGTACTTGTTTAGGCTGTTCCCAGTCCTGTATTCTAAAAGATTACAATTTCTCTCTACTGCTGGAACTTACTTCCTTTTTCGGGGATTTTTTTCCTCTTTGGCCTATTTGCCTTGTATGTTCTTCACTACTGAATGATTTGAAAGCGTTGAAGCTAACTTAAAACATTTTGGTATTCTCTTCTGCTTTTAGTGTGAAGATGATCTGCCCATCAGCCAGAAAGGTACAACTGAAATAGCACCTGAATGTGGGCTAGAAGACAGACTAGATGTTCGATACCTTCAGTGGTTAAATGGGAGGCTGAGGTTCCAGTGGAGGAGTTTGCATGCTCAGCACCAAGAGCAATGCAAACTTTTGCACAAGGTAAATGATTCTTCTAACTCACTATGGCATTGTTTATTATTTAAAAGCCTTGTCAGCTAGTGCTAAATGTACAAATTATTCTTGTTTGCTAGTTCTGCATTTTCTGTAGGTGAGTGAATTACTCTAAATATAAATACCCCCACCTTTCCCCAGTGGGGTGGAACTGTGAGAAAATGAAGTATGTACAGTGTTTGTAGGGTTATAATTGTTGTATAAAAGTCTATCTTGCAGGTTGGCACATTAGTCACTTCTGCAACCATAGGCTGTCTCCATTTTTCTCAGAAAATGCCTGGTGGAAGCAAGACAGAGCATTCTGGTCCCACAGACAAGAAGTAGTGATTCAGAACTATAACTTCATCAGAAATGTGGATTCAAAACATTGAGCATGGATGTTGGAAGTAATAGCAGCAAAATAAAATGCTTCCCTTTCTGAAGTACTAGGGAACATCTGAGCAGAACCCCAAATCTACCTGCTTTTATAGTGGTCTCTACATGGCTGAGGTTCCAGTTCTGTTCCCATTTATGAATAATATTTATATGCCTGTCTGAAAATCACAGACACCTGGACCATCATGTCTGCTTAGGATGAAAACAGCCTGCAGTCCCAAAGTTGACAGTGATGGTGACTGCAGAGACAAATTTAAAAAAAAAAAACCAAAAATGGTTACAAAGATAGTCCTAAAAGTTATTCAGTAATGTTTTCCCTAGGCCCTCTTTCTCCATTCATATCTCTTCAGGTAATGTATATGGAGCCACTTGGTATTGTACCCAGAACCTTCACAGAAAACCTTCTTGAGACTAAGAACAGTTTTGAGAAATTTCTCCTCAAAGAACAATGTTTATCAGAAAGTTGTCAGAATCAGACCAAGAGGGTTTTGAATGAAGATGCCTTCTTGGTTTTAATTCTGTGTCTGACAGAGCAATGCTGAAAACTATAATGAGGTTACATTTTGTTCTTTACACGAATTGATTGCTAGGGAAGATGTCTGATTGACAGCCCTAGGGAAAGATCAGGTGCTGTGTGTGCAGCATCTAAAATAACCTTTTGCTTCTCATTGCCCACTGTGAATGTGCTTTCCTCATCTGGGAATGAAGATAGCAATTCACTGTAAGTGCAGGTGCAGTCCTTGGCTTTTGCACTGAGATTACAGACAGCAATGCTATTGGGAGAGGTAGCTTAGTGATATAAAACTCAAATTAAATGATTGGCATCTTCTCCCCTTGATAAGCTACCTCTATTTAAGGTATGCTGATTTTTATAGTAGGTGAGGCAAATATCTCCATAACTTATCATCAGTGCTCTGATTTATGTAGTACTTGGCAGTAACAAATCATTAGGCAGCTTCAGTACCTCAGCTTGCAGTTAATGAGACCAAGGAAGAATTAAGAGCAGGTCGAACCTGGGGCCTCAAGTACAAACAGAGGTATTCTCAATGGTCTAGATCAGGCACTGAAATGATGAAGAGATTTGCTGATTGGGCAACATGCTAAACTTGTTGACAGGGGACACGATGACTTCCTGTGGGGACTGTACTTTGAAATAAACTTGGAATTTTTTTCCCCTGTGGCTATCCAAGGAAAAATGTTTGCTAAACAGGCTGAGGGAGTTGGGGTTGTTCAGCCTGGAGAAGAGAAGGCTGCGGGGAGACCTTATTGCAGCCTTTCTGTACTTAAAGGGGGCCTATAGGAAAGACGGGGACAATCTTTTTAGCAAGGCCTGTTGTGACAGGACAAGGAGTAATGGATTGAAACTAAAGGAGGATAGATTTAGACTGGATATAAGGAAGACATTTTTTACAGTGAGGGTGGTGAAGCACTGGAACAAGTTTCCCAGAGAGGTGGTGGAGGCCCCATCCCTAGAAATGTTCAAGGTCAGATTGGGTGGGGCTCTGAGCAACCTGATCTAGTTAAAGATGTCCCTGCTCACTGCAGGGGGGTTGGGCTAGATGACCTCTAAAGGTCCCTTCCAACCTGAAGCATTCTATGATGCTATGACTGTTACAGTGAGACAAATACAAGAGATGGATTAGTTATGCTGCAGTTCCCTGGACCACAATTTCCAGAATCTGGAAGAATAAGCAGGAGGGAGAACGTTTCTCTTTTTATCCAGTTTCCCAAAGCTGCCATTACTGCCTTCTCCAACAGTTATCACTGGACTATACTGAAAGCAATAAGCGGTGCTGTTGATTCTTACGATCAGACTATGCTCTGCAGTGTATGTAGGGGACTGCCATCATGGATGTATATACATAGCAGGATAGATTGGAGCCCAGCTCCTCCATATGTGACCACACACTGATATTATGCCTGCTCAAATACGTATGTGCAACTGTGGGAGTTCTGTTCAGAGCTGTAATAAAGTGCAGTGCTTTGATTTATATTTTAGTCTGAATTAGAAGCAGGAAAATTGAAAGGTAAAAGTGACTTTGGAAGGGACTTCATTACACTGACACATTAATGTTAAGGTTACAGTAACACAGAATATAACATACTTACACAATTTAACAGCTGCATAAACAATAATTCATATTTTCTGACTCTTTATAGAGAAATTTTGGCTGTGTTACTGCATTAGTTTAGAAACTTTTAAACTAGTCTGCTATGTGTTAGAAGACCAAGCTGACCCAATGTGACCTCTATATGAGCTGCTGCTTTTCTTGTATAAACCACAAACACAGTATGCGAAAGGCTAATGAGTGTTATGTTTTTTAATTATGCTGACAGATTTACAGAGGGCTTTCTCTAGATAATTATGGCTTTTACTTGCTCTGTTTAATAACTTAACAGGTTATGTATCTCAGCTGTGGAACAGTCTTATTTACTGCTGATCACGAGCTATAATTTTTGCCAAGTAGTGGCGACACTTCCACAGATTTAATTCTGTGACTCACACAGGCTCTAAAATACCATATTCTCTATTTGGGGCTTTCTGAGGAAAAAAAAAAAATCACACTTGGAAAAATATGTTCTTATTCAGGAGATGACTGCTTTGCCACTCTATATTTTTTAAGTATGGATATTGCTACTGGAAGTAAGAATTGTACATAGAGGATCCAGCAAGAGGCTACCAAGATAGTCAAGGACTAGCTAAGTTGGGCATGACCGCTAAGAAGAGGTTGAGGGAGTTGTGCTTGTTTGCTCTGGTGGAGAGGAGGCTGAGGGAGAGGTCACCTAATAGCTGCCTTCAGCTATTTGATGGTAGTTACAAAGATGGATCCATGAAGTACCAGAAGACAAAGGGGAAGAGGCCACTGATTATAGCTTGGAAGGTTCAGGCGTATTAGAATCCCAGCTTCTCTGGGATGATGAGTAGCATTGGAGCAGGTCAGGAGCTGAATGGTCTCCATCCTCGGAGGTTTCCAAGACTCATATACGCAGAGCCACAAACTGATGTTGGCGGTAGTCCTTGTTAGAGGAGGAGGTAGGACTAAAGACCTCCAAAAGTCTTTTCTGTTTCTAAGATTTTTGTGAAAAAATTCTGAATCACCTGGGTGATCGGGGACATGTCCTTTCAGGTTAGAAGTAGATGACTCATGTCTTAATGAAATAATACTGTACTGCCTGAAGAAAGGATAAGGGAGCAGTAGGAGGGAAATATGAGAGGAAAAACAGGCAAAAATAAATGGCTGTTCTGTCTCTAAAGTACACAGATGATAACTGAAACATTGCTGGGGCATCCACCTACTCTGTCCTGCCTGCGGCCACTTAAGGTTGATGGTATGAAGTTCTGTAGTAACCAGTGTAGGTTACTGGAGAGGGAAGCCTTCCTGGAGCTACAGCTGGTCATGTGTTGGGAATTGCTTATTAGGGTCTGAGTGGCTGTTCCTCTTTGCTAGCTCTTCTGATGAGCTGCTTTTCAGTGACTTCAGCTTCCAGAAGGCATGTTGAAGCTTACAGACACACACACACATGTCCTGCTGTAGAAGGAAGACTTCCTCAGGGAAATCTTAACCTCTCTGTTGCTGAGGAATTTTGCAGCCTAAGGCTGTGAGCTGTTGAATAACATTATAACGGCTTCTCAACATGGACAGGTTGGCCTGCTTTGAAAGTATAATATAGTAACACCATCATAATTCCCTTGAAATTCTCAGTGGTACATATTTACCTGATACACCTTCAAATATATGGAAGCGTGAAGGATAAATTACTGCGTTAAGGCATGCCCCTTGCTTCCTTCTGTTTCTTTCTCTTCCTCTCAAGTGCCAGAGGAATACCTATCTGCCTGTTTTTTGATCCCCCTTGAATTCATAGGGGAGAGCAGCTGTTTTTACTTAGGCTTTGAATTACCACTTTGCCTTAAAAAATGTGAATGAGAAGCCTTGCATAGTTTCAGAAAAACAGGTAGGAACCTGTGTAGTTTAAAACTGGCATTGTTTTTTGGGTCTGTTAAATGCACTGTGCCACAGTCAGCATGTGAAAAGAAACAGTGGAACAAGTGAGTTTCTGCAAAACTGATGGATTTCCTGTGGATATTTTCAGCTATCCCCCATCTACTAAAGACTAAGACAGAAATCACACCTGAAGCAGGGGAAGGTTAGATTGGGTTCAGAAGTGAATTTTGTTAAGCAGGTGAACATCTGATTGTGGACTATGAATATATGTTAGTAGGAATAAAATTATATTAAATGGAATTCTTGATGATAGAAGAAGAGTTTAACATAATTGGCAGTATCATCAGATCATGGTAAAATGACAATAGTGGTTGTAATATGCTTGGAAACTGTAAGAGCAAGAGTTGTATTCTGTCAGTAAGAATGCAGAGCAGCGCTGGGAAATACCTCCTATGAACAGAATGGTTTGTTGTGCCTCCTCTAAGATGAACAGAATAAAATAAGATGTGTTACAGTGGGTTGGATTGGTTGTATCTATATACCTGACGTTGTAGTAAAAGAGTAAAGGGACAAGGACAAAGTCTTGATCTCTGAATAACAGAGGGCAGAGACTGGTGCTGGGTGATTACCTCATTGTCTATGTAATGTATGAGTGACCTAAACTGCAATTCTTAGATGCATCTGCATCTTGGCATGAAGAATCTACCATGTGACTCTGTAAATTACTACAATGATTAATTATATGTTTTTTGTCTTGAGATATTTGATTTGAAAATCTTTGTTTTTTTCCTAAAGTGAATTTGCCATTAGATCTCAATAGCACATTCTTTAATGCAGTAGAAGTGTTTTCCTCTCGTGCAAGTATGTGTGAAGTATGAACAAGCCCCCTTTTCACCTTCTCTTAGGTGAATTAGACAAGCTGATCTCCCTGCAGGGTGTCTAAGCTCAAGGGCGTTTAGGAATTGATACTGGAAACCCCCAGAAGTGGTGCTCAGCGTGTGGGCTGTGCCTGTACTCTCATGCAAAGGTTAGCATAAGGTTAAATCAGACCTGCCTCCACCACGGTCCATTCCGGTGCCACGCAGCAACAGCTACACATGCTCTGTCTCTCACCCTGTTACCTGCTTCTTTTACCTTGGTACTGTTTCCCTCTTTAAGCCTTGTTTCATCTTCAGTATGTTGTAGTTATCAGTAACAGATTGTAAAAATACAAATACTGGATTATTTATGGTACAAATACTGGATTATTCCAGTATCCATCTAGTCTTGTCTCAGGGGAACACCTTATTTCTCTGTTGTTACAGCTTTAGAGTATTTGTTTTGGGCTTTAGCCAGTGATGCTGCTGCAACATACTATTGAAGAGGGGCTGAAATTCATTCCTGGTGCTGGAGGCCCAAAGGTTTGGCAGCCGGAGTTACGCAAGAATGCAGCAGGGAGAGGAGTGGCAAGGAGAAAGGAAGAACATTGTGTGGGGAGGTGCTCTTTTATTTTTAAACTCGCATAGCTCTGCACATGTGACAGATGGTTGTCACCAGAAGTGAGTTTTGGGAAAGGAACGCTAAAATATTCTGAAGTTTCAGGGAAGGGTTGACAATTACCCAGTGCCTGTCAACTTTAAAATAGTTGTCAATACCCAAGTGTATGATAAAGTTCATATTAGAATAAAGGAAGAAAAGCAGGAAACATTCTCTGTCTTCTGGCAGAAATATTAATGAAATATGAGCGATTGTCTGACAAATGTGCGCTGCTATCTTGTTTGGCAGCTGCGGTTATTACAGTAACAAAGGGATCAGCTCTGAATAGGAGGAATTGCTTTTTATTGTTCCCTTGACTAACTTGGGAAGCTTCTTCGTCAAGTAATTGATGATACCATCACCAGCGCAGCTGGGACAAGGTCCCAGTAAGCGAAAGCCAACAATATATAGCAGCAAAAGAGAAACTTACTGTAACTAGGTAGCATTTTCTGCTTTAAAGGAAGAAATAAAAAATTATTCTGAGGGTATCCTTCACCTCTGTTGAGACTTCTGCTATCTGTGTAAATGGTTTCTCCTTTCATGCTATGCAGAAGAGCATGTGTACTGTAAGGAAGAAGACTTTAAGACAGGATGAAAAGAGAAATCTTTCAGTTTTACTGTGGTGGCAGCAGTAGCAATTCCTGCATGTGGTTCTGGTAACAATACCAGATGGACCATTTTGTGAGATGATTGTGGTGCATGATCATAATTTCCTGCAGGCTGTTTTAAAAAGGTCTGTTGTGTTGGTGGTAGTAGTTACATTTGTACTTGTCCATTGGGAATGGGCTTGTAACCACTGGTTCACCTCACCATTCCAATCCATGCAGCCTTTAAATAGTAGCTAATGATGTTGTTAATGATCTGGTCCTTGTACTGACAAATATCTTTTAATTTAATCTATTCCAGATCCATTCATTCACTAGTGGCTCCCATACGGACCAGATCCTTGGACATTTTTCTGTCACAGAAACGGATCTCGTTAGGCAACCGGAGAACTACAAGCAGGTAATGCTTCTCCTGTAATTCTTGGATGCTTAGTATGCTTTACACAAACATTGTTCAGCAGACTGCACTCCTTGTAACATGTTTTTAACTTGGTTTCCAACAGAAATAAGGGCTTATATATTGAATTGTCAGTTTCCTCACTTTTGGAATTCACCACATTTGGTGAATACAAGTTGTTTCTTCCCGTTTGATAGAACATAGACACAAAGGTATTAGGCTAAGTTTTGTAAAAACTGGTAGGGAGTGGGAAGAGACCTGACTGAAAGTGCCACTGAAGAAAAGGCTTGTAGAAGAAAACATTGTAGATCAGTTGGCTGACTTCTGTTGCATACTACTAGTAACCACATCTGGGCCAGCCAGGCAGAGTGTCTGCCTGTGACCTTGCCTGAGCAGTTGTAAGTGAGAACATGGAAAGATCTGATTTATCTCTCCAGGAGAGCCAAAGCACATCTGATGCTAGCATTCATGGGTTCCAGAAATTATACAAGTTGACTACCTTTTTGGATGGTAGTAAGGGGCTTTATTTTGAGAAATATTTTAGAAGCACAGAATGGTTGAGGTTGGAAGGGACCTCTTGAGGTCACCTGGTCCAACCCCCCTGCTCAAGCAGAGTCACCTAGAGGAGGCTGCCCATGATCATGTCCAGATGGCTTTTGAATATCTTCAAGGATGGAGACTCCACATCTTCTCTGGGTGACCTGCTCCATGCTCAGTCATCCTCACAGTAAAAAAGTGTTTCCTTATGCGTGCTGACAGAACCTCTTAGGAAAACATCATTTTTCCTAGTGTACTGTTTTGCCCTTAAGTATATATTTCTGCTGCTCTCAAATACTCAGTTATCATAGATGTTTCAGTTTATTATTTGAAGTAGTACAATTCACTTGTTATAATACAAAACAATACATTTGTTTTACAAATCAGTTTGTAAAAGTTCATTCTATGTGAAACTGGAACAAGATTGACATTTTAAGCTCAGCCCTAGCAAAATCAAAACTTGGCAAATTTCTGCAGTCTGTCCAAATTTGTTTACTCAAAGAAGATATTCTTTCTGCTGCTACCTTAAGATCAGAAGTGGGTATTGTAAATACTGTGCACAAAGAAATCCAAAAAAGTAGATTTGAAGATGGGAAGTAGTCTTATTTTCAAACTCCGTAAAGTAAAGTGCATGTTAATCTTTCATTACTGAGCATTCCTTGGATGAACAGTTCACATCTAGCCTCTTGATAAAGTTCAGCTGTTTAGAACATTTTCCTGGAAAATTATTGTTTTTCTAGAGCAAACGGCTAAGCTTGAGATTTCTTTTTTATTTCTGCCTCACAGTCCCCCTCCTACGGTTTGTTCAGCAGCTCAGAACACACAGCAGCTCAGTCCTCTGAAGCCTATACTTTATAGTCTTCCAGAGCTTAGCAAATGTCCAGAAAAGTCTGGTGGGCTGGTACTAGAAACTTCCGGACTGTGTAGAAGGACCTTGCAACTATGTTTTTCCAAAGCCTTACCCTGAATATGTCACCGATCTGTTACATTAAAGCATAACAATAGTCTTGTAAAGCCTATTTGGTTTTGACTGCGCTGTTGGTGAATCATTCCAGGAGTTTTCTTTATTGCATTCTGCTCCCTTTCCTGGATGTCTGCTTCAGCTGTTGCCGTTCAGTGGAGGCTGTGAGGGTAAAATGGAAAGAATTTTTTTTTGTATTTTAAACATTGAGGTTGGGTAGGGTGCTAGAGTCAAGAAGGTTTAGTGGGCAGCTGTGCTGCTTAGTTAAAATCGCTGGAGGTTTCATTCCACCTTTCCCAGGTTTAAACAGTAAATAAATAATACAGGGGACACCCCTTCAAAACAAGGGTGACCACTGAGAGGGACGGAGGCAGGGTGGCAGAAGATGTTTTCTTCAAAGAAACTATGGGTGACCACAGTCTCTATCTCCAGTTTCTGGTCTCTTAACAGGTGTAATCCCAAACAGGCTCCAGCTCCGGTGCATGTGTGTTGGAAATTCTTTTCTTATGTCACTTACTGCTTGGACTGGTCCAAAATTGGAATTGTTTGTCAGCGTAATCAGCTGTGAAATTGTTAACCTCTTGAAGCTCTCGAATCTGTTCAAGAAAAGGGGTTTCTCTAAGCTACTCTCTTCTGCCTGATTCTAAAATAAAAAGGAAAAATTGCAGGAAATTTTCACAACACTTCAGCATACATATTTTCGGGAGACTTAAAATTCTTATTGTCATCATTTGAGCAATCTTTGTAGTTTTTGTCTCCCTTTACCCTTATTTCCCAAAAGCAGCTTCCAGTAGTCACAGACTCGGTATATATGAAGAGCCTGGTATAACAAGGTGGTATGGACTTGAAAAGGCAAGGCTGTTTTGAGTGTCAGTTTTCCAGATGGATATAATACTCAATATGCAAAGTGATGCTTCTTTGGAAAATGTAATAAAAAGCCTCTAATTTTCAAATATCTGGATAAGATTAAGTAAATTATGCATATTTGAGTAGCTTGGTTTTCAAATATTGGTGCAGATGGCAGCACTCTGCCAAATGTTTTTTCCAAAAACTGTGAAATAATTTTTTTTTCTCTAAGTAATGTGACATTTCTGTTAATGTTACCTCAAATAACAACCTGCTGCATGGATCAATAAAAAGAGCAAGCATGTCAATATGTCTTACTGTAATGCACCCCTGTTGGTGGGTGGTGTTATGAATTCCTTCTCATGTTAGGCATCCTTCAAAGGATAGCAATGCAAAGTGGATCGAAGTGTCAAAAATTAGCTATCACAGAAAGGACACTGGGCTGGTTTTATTGAAACCGAGAGTTCGTTTTCATCAAAAATATCCCAAGAGATAAGTTGCTCTGATCTGTAATAAAGCAAGAGATGTTTAGTCTGACTGGAAAAGTGTGATAGGATACAGATAGCTGTGAAGAAAAAATTCGGTTTATGAAATGGAAAAGTCATGCTACTCCTTTTCTATAGAAGTTGCACATTAACTTGTTTAAAATGTTATTCCCTTGGACTTCTGACGATAAAACTCTTTTAGTGTGTTTTTATATACAGGGATTTTACTGGACATTATTATTCTTCTATCATCATAAATGTCTTTGTCGGATTCATAGAGCTGGAAGTTTCCCAAGCGTAACAGTTTTAATTGTGGTTTTTCTTTAGTGAGGCATGATCAAAATTCCAACTTTTCCTGCGGTTTGGCTTGGCTATGGTTATACATGTGCGTGGCTGTGAGTTGCAGGTCACCGCTGCGTTTAGTTCCTGTGCTGCCCAGGGGTGTCAGTGAAGGGGAGGAGGCAATGTTATTTCAGCTGGTGTTCAGTTTCCAGTTGAAGTACATGTGCGTGCTCCTGTTAGCTCTTGACCTCTACATGCATGTCCTTTCTTTCCCAGGATGCTGTCGTGACTTTTTGAACGCTCTGGTTTGCAGAGTGTTGCATGAGAAACATGCTGGTGATCATTTTCTCAGCAGAAGCGCCTCAGTCGGTGGTGATGGTTACGGAGCTGTTTGCCTGAGGCCATGCTAGGGCGTGCAAATCGGGGACAATTACAGTGCAGCAGCATTGCCACAGCCTGTGCGTTGGTAGGGAGCTTGGATGTTCATTGTGTCTTTTCTTTAAAACCTCTTGCATGTATCACTCTAGAGTATGCAAGAACATAGTCTAGAGCATATTGAATGTCTTGTGTTTTGGTACATTTCCCAAGCTGTATCAGTACTGCTTGTTTTTAAATGGGTTCCCCAGTGTGACTGGGGGACTGCTGTTATTTGCCAGCCTGAAATATCTCAGGGCAGAAATAGAGTTCTGGTCTCTGGCACTGCGGCTAAAATAGTTTGGAAGCGTACTGGGGAGAGGATGTGGCTGAGCGTAGGCAACATCTACCCCAAACTCTCCAGGGCAGTATCGTCTCTCTGTGAGGAGGCAGTCACATTCCTCTTGTGACTGTGAGGACAGTGGTTGTGATGTGGGACCGATTGGGTAGTTTTTCATCATTGTCAGCGTAATATAATCCCATTCTTGTCTATGAAGCCAATTTGCCTTAATTCTGCATTGCAGTGTCACCAGTTCTGATGTTTTACCTTGAGCTCGAAAAATGTATGTTGCACTTCAGAGTCATTAAATTAACTTTCTCATCAAATTGTTACCATAAAGAGATCAATGAACTCTGAAGCAAAGCAGCCTAGTCCTTCAGTTTCTTCTGTCTCTTCTTATACTGCTTTATACATGGAATTCAATCTTGCAGGCTTTGTGATTAGCAGAGATTAAAAGTTGTAGTCAGAACTCAGGTCACTGGTACGATGCTGGCAGTGCTGGAGTGATCATTGAAATTGTAATGAATAAAGATGACACCTTTAAATGCCAGTAGATCAATTTACTGAGTGTCACAGCAAATAAATAATGCAGCTGTCTGCCAGACGGACATGCAGAGAAATTCATAGAACTTGGGTGTGAGTAGCTAATAATTTTGTTTCAGAATTTTATGAAAAATATTTTTACTTGTTGATCATTAACACGTTTTAAAGGGAATTTATTTGGCTTAAGGAGCTAAGGTCCTTGGTAGCAAGTAAATAGGAGCACACAAATAGTCTGTCTGACTTTGCATACATAATGTATGGTCAATTCCATGCCCATAAAAAATTCAGGTGAATCTCAAAGCAGCAGGGATTGGGTGGAATGGGGTAGGATGGTATGGGCCTAGCATTGATCTTTCTGGCTGTTCATGTGTCAGGGAAGGAAGCCAATGTACAGTATGTGTGTTGCTTCCTTCAGTCAGGTAGGACTCCATAATTTCTTATTGGGACATTCAAGGGGTAAATGATCAAGTTGTAAGATAAGTTGATTGTGGACCCTAAATCTCGTGGCAATTTCCATTTAAAACATCTGTCCCAGATGGCTGTTACAGATGGGTGACACAACAGGTTTATTCTCTGTGAGTAATAGCCCATGGTTTGAATTCATGCGAAGCACTAAAGAGCTTCTGTTCTTTTCAGAATAAGTACATTCAGATTG